GACAGGGGAGAGACTCCACATGAAAGAAAATTGTTTCCTCTGACTTAAGAAAAAACAAAAATGTACTAGCAAATACATAAAATTCCATTTCAATAAACTTCCAACTTTTTCTAAGCCCAGGTAACAACTATTTAAGTCATATTCAATACAACCAATTCATAATGCTTCAGAAGAATTTACCCAGACTTTTAGAGTTGGTCTAAAAGGAATGTGCCTTAGACTTGAAATGAAGAGCTCCTACGAGATGGTTCTGGTAGTGTAGATTTCTGGGTTTCCAGATTCTATGAAAGATTTTTATACCTGACATTTCACAAGGAAAAAAAAAAAAAAACAAACAAAAGCAAAAGTCTCTGTAAAAGTACCCTGATCTATCTAGATGCAGTCTGAAACACATCAGCCTTTAGCACAGAATTAAGTTCATACTTTAAAATGAAGTGATTAAAAATATTTAAAATAGCAGCAAAAAACAGTCAAATTTTGGTGATCCAAAAAAAGAAAGTGTGACATGATTAGCGTTGGTCAGTGTAAGTTTAACAACACGGGATCGTTACATTTTCCATGGGTAAAGTACAAGAATACTTACGACAATTAAGAGATCTCAGCAAGAGTTCTAACTCTGCCCCGGTCAGCAAGACAGGCCTTTAATAATGGCCCATAAAACCAGAGTGGCGTTTATAAACGTCAGAACATACTTTAGATAAAACGCAATTGGTTAAGCCAGAAGTTTCCGTAATAGCAATTGACTGTAGAGCAGTGGTTCTCAAAGTGTCCTTCCCCTTTGTGGCATGAGCCACACCTGGGAACTCCTTAGACATGCCATCTCCCACCTCCGGCTCTGTGATCTGGTTTACCAAGCCCTCCAGGTGGTTCTGATTTAAGGGCACTGCTGTGGAAGACACTACAGAGGTTTTGAGTGTGAAACTGAGCACAAGATGCCCAATTCAGTGTGTCAGGCTAGTCCCACCTTGGTTGACCTAACCTCCACGTCCCATTGCCCGTCCCTTTTAGTGGGCAGCCCAAAGAGTAGCACCATGTTCAAACACAGTTTCAAAAGGCCTTAGAGATAGTAGGGCTAATGGATAAGTCAGCTATTTTTCGTATGTTACCACAGTAACAGGAAGCATCATTTACTCCTATAAGAAAGGTCTCCTTTGGGGCTGGCCCTGTGGCTTAGCGGTTAAGTGTGCGTGCTCTGCTACTGGCGGCCGGGGTTTGGATCCGGGCGTGCACCGCTGCATCACTTGTCCAGCCATGCTGAGGCGGCGTCCCACATACAGCAACTGGAAGGATGTGCAACTATGACATACAACTATCTACTGGGACTTTGGGGAGAAAAATGGAAAAAAAGGAGGATTGGCAATAGATGTCAGCTCAGGGCCAGTCTTCCTCAGCAAAAAGAGGAGGATTGGCATGTATGTTAGCTCAGGGCTGATCTTCCTCACAAAAAAAAAAAAAGAAAAAAGAAAGGTCTCCTTTGCAGGGTACACTGAGTGTTTACAGAAAGATCACTTTATCCTGAGAAAACCAAATTTTAGAAAAGCAAATATGGGTAACTCTAAGGCTTCCATATTCACCGTTATAGCCCTTGTTCTAAGTGAATTTTCCCTAATTATGGCTGTCCAATAAGGAAAACATGTGTCCTGGGCCAACCTCCACTGCCTACTCTGAAAGACATCATTTCCATGTAATGGAGAAAAGAAACGTCTTACTTCATGCACCCTACTGGTCCCTCAGTCCTGAATCCACAGGGAAGCTGACCGTTTCATCTCTACCCACCCCTCATGATGCTTCGCGTCCTAAGACGTCCTTCTGTAGGTCTACATCCAGTTTACTTCTGGGTGCTGCCATAAAAATAATGTTTCTTTGTGGATTATAAAACCCATTTCTGTATTATGAAATCAATTTCATTTTGTATGTAGTCCTTCATTTTTATAGTTTTTAAATAGCTTCCATATTTACCATCTCAGTTGATTCTCATAATAACCTGTGAGGTGGGTAGTTTTATTATTCCTACGTTACAATGAGAAAACTGGAACTTAGTGCTGACTTCAATAAACAACTGACCCATGAATGTCAAAGAGGAAATACAAATGTTTTCCATCAAAAATGAAAGAATTCACAATGTCCAAAAGAACTCCCAAACTTGGATTTGTCATCTGCCAAATGATATTTACCAAAATAATAAGGTAAGTTTTTAGGTGGGGTGGTATTTTTCTGGCTTCGGAAGGATGAGAGGTGGGAGATAAACTCTCACAGATACGGAATCAACATAACCTGCAATGATATCTAGAATTCGATGAGGTTCAGAGTAACAACCACAACAATGATGATGATGATGGCGCTAAGATTGATTAAGCTCTTACTACGTGCCAGGCACCATTCTACATTAATTAAATATATTCAACAACCCTATTAATATCACCATTTACAGAAGAGAAAACCCAGAGAAGCTATATACTTTGCCCAAGATTACACATCCTGCACCCTGGACACAGAGGACTGGAGGTGCCAAGCCCCTGTGAGGTTTGCCCCACCAGCGATGGAAACCTGACATGGGAGGGCAGCCACCACAGGAACCTGGATTACTTTTCTGGTGTTGCCATTTAAGCAACAGTCTCTACATTCTCTCGGCCAAAACATCAATCAACGCTCAGGTTCCAAGTTATCAGGAGCATCAATTGAGACTCCTAACAGCTGGTTCCTTCTCAGACTGTCCCTACAAGGGTGGGGAAGGAGGGGAGAGAACCCAGTTTTCCAGATCTTGGTTAGCAATGGAACACTGGCTGATTTGCCTGGACCTGCCTTTGATTAATTTAAGAAAAATCAAAGAAGAAAGCAGCTCTGGAGGAAATGTGCAAATGAAAGCTGCATGAGGCAATGATGAGTAGTATTTAGTAATCTAGCGGAAAGTGAGGTGGGAGGCAGAAGTTCTAGTCAATGCACAGAATTTTTTTTTTTTAAAGAAATATAAATAAAAAGGAATCCTCACTGCTGTAAATTACTCCTGCCTTCTTTTTTCTCTGCTCACATTTTGGAATTGTATGAGCCAGCTTTTACATATTGATCAATCTTTTTAAGTTCATACATCTTTTTCTTAAGGAAGGAAAAAAGATCAAGTTGAACTCAGACAAGAGAAAAATTACATGATGAATGAATGCAGTCTTCATGAGCAAGTATAACATCACTGGGGGGCAACTTTCAAAGGCTTCCTCAAATTTGCTTACCTTCATCGTTTCCTGCCTTTAATTTTCACTGAATAACCTCAGACCACCTTAAGATCCTAGCAGTCCAACAGAAAACCCAATTTAACAGAAAGTTCCACAATATTCCATAGAATCCCACCTCAATGAAAAACCCCAACCTGGGAGATGGGACTATAGTGACCCCAGGTAGGCGACTTTTCATATCCACATTCTGTCCACACTCTAATAATCCTGGCCCAGTACTTACTAACTGTGGGTCCTGTGTGCTTCCCTTTCCTCCTCTATAAAATGGGGATAACACCTTCTTCATTAGGTTGGTGTGAAAATTAAATGAGTTAATACAAGTCAAGCGCTTAGAACAGTGCCTGGCACACAGTAAGTACTCAAATAGCATTAGCTATCATTATTGTTACTCCTAGTGTTTGCAAAAAATATTACAACAGGGAACCGCACACGGAAGGCTTCTACTGTATCAGTAATGTTCTATTGTTTAAAAAAAAAAATCTAAAATCAGAACAATCGTCGATACAAAAAAATAAGAAAGTCTTGGAAAAAGGGAGGAAAAAAGCCGGTCATAATCGTGCCACCTGTTGGCGAGTTTCAGGTGAGGGTACTGCTTGGAGCCTCCGGTTCCACCACTGCGCCGTATTTCCCTTCGATGATGCCTCCCCTCGCGCCGCGATTCTTAATCAGCGTTTCACCGGCAGTATTACAGGCGGGTCCGCGAACCCGCTGAAACCCTACGCGGAACTGGGTGAGGCTGCGGCGCTGAGCATATTGGGGGAGGGGCTCCATAGCTTTTCTCAGACTCGAATAGATAACCCTGTAGCGAGCAACTTGCTTCACGGGCTTAAACTCAGGGGATATCGACAGAACAATTCACTTCACGGAAGCTGCAGTAATAACAGGACACCTGGGTTGTTAATTTGCCATCTCAACACCGGAGCGAGCGGATCGCGAGGGGCAAAAGCCCGCCCGGCGGCGCATGGCGCTGCGCCCCTTGCCACTTACAGACCGGCCTGTGAACTTCACCGCTGAAAACGCACCGGCTCCGCAGACCCGACCTGGGTGTTCAGGGTTTAACTCTCCTCCCTTCCCCCCTCGTTCTCTTCCAAAAACAAACTCAAAGGAAATTGGCAAGGCTCCGTCTAGGGTTTCACTCCAGCCCTCGGCTGACACTTAAACCACTTCTCCCGGAGAAGTTAATTAAAAGAACAATTAATCCGCACAAAAATCCAAAACCTACCCCAAAGCTCAAGAGCTCTTAAAGTTAGAAGACTGAGGGCGCCTCTGCTGACCATGAACATCTGCCCGTCGCTGGGGCAGGGGTGGGCAGGAGGTACCAAAGGGAAGCAGGCAAGGTCCTGCCGGAGGGTCGGACGCCGGTCACCCCTCGAAGTCTACACGCTACCGACGCCGGTGAAGACGGGCTTGGAGGCAGCCAGGTAAGCTGGTAGGTGTGGGCAAGTGTACGAACAGACACACACAGCCGCGGCCGATTAAAGTTCAAGCCCGTTCACATACCGCTTCTCCTTCCCCGGAGGGCGTTCTCACGCACGGCCCAGGCGGCCACTTCCCGGGACGCCCGACGGTCCCCCTCTTTGGAATGGGCTCCCCAAATCCCTAGTAAGCCCTAGTGACGCCCCTTGCCTCCCCGCCTCCACCCCCTGAAAAGCATTAGCCTCCCTCCAGTCTCCTAGGCGAGCGCAGAAAACCCCCGGGCGAGACATGAAGGACAGGGGAAAGCGGAGTGCCGCGGGGGGCATGGGGTGCAGGCGTGCAGCGCAGCGTACGTACCAAGCGCGAACAGGGCGAGCTGTCCGGCCGAGGTGACCATCTTACGGGCGGCGGGCAGCAGGCGCCCCAGCCTCCTGCCCTACCTGCGGTGCCCGAGTGGCGAAGCGGCGCCGCGGTGCGGGGGAAAAAGGCGCCGGCGAGGCAAGGCCAGCCCCCGGCGCGGGCGGGCGGAGGGAGGACCGAGCCCTCACTGCTGGCACTCACCCTGCCGCGCTGCCGGCCGGGCGGAAATGGGAAGGCGGTTACCGTCACCTCTCCGCCACTCGGCGACCGGGGCACGGCGGACCACCCTCCCGCCCCAATGGGGGTGCCCCCCTAGGAGCACTGGGGGTGGGGGTTTGGGGCTGGGGGCTGGGACGCTGCGCGCACCAAGCAGGGCGCGGGCGGCGGGGCGGGGCAACCTGGGAATCTCTGCGCCCCGCCGCGCGAGCCGGGAACCCAGGCGGAGGAAAAGGCAGGAAGCGCCTGACTTCAGACACCACCCTCGGACTAGCAGCCCAGCGCTGCCGCGGGGCCCGCGCGCGGGGTCGGCGCCAACTGCGGAGCCCGAGCAGACGGGGCGCAGTGACGGCTTCTAGGCTCTAGGAGGGGGAGCGGAGCCTCCCGGACGTCCGTCACCTGCGCCGACCGCCACTGCAGAGGGCTCTCCCCGGCAAGGGACTGGGGACGCGGCCCGGAACGGGATCTGCGAGTTTCGGACGCCGCCTGCCAAGACTTGGCCCGAGGAGAATGCTCCCCGGAATCAAGCGAATAATTTGTTAAACCGGGTTTCCCACCTGCGTCCCCATCCCAGCAAGGAACACTCCATTCTAGGGCCGCCTGCCGCCCGAGCACAGCCACCCCACGTTCCCAGGCGGGCACATTGTTAAGATCAGCGGGCCTTCATACCTCTGGACTGCGGCTGGTAATGAAGATGAGTCTCTTGTCTATGGGGCACCTGTTTATCTACCACTACTATCCCCGGTACACCCGACACCGCCCTGCCACAGCAAGCGGAGGCCAAGAACCGGCTAGCGTGTAGCCAAGCGCGCCCTGAGAGGGGGGTGTACAGGCAGGAGCCACCTGGGTGGCCCTTTCAGGATTTGTGGTCTTGAGCTGACCCCTGGTGCTGGAGTTTGGGGAAGTGGAGGGAAGACATTCTGGGCAGAGAATGGAAGAACCATAGGTTCCTTAGGGACCATCCATAGGTTCCCTGGGGACTGTACATAGGGGACAGTATGCCCCCGAGAGCCGGTGACCACTAGTATTCTCCAGATGCCTCGAGCTCAGGGACTAACTCTCTTCTCCTGACCCCTCCAGCCTAGTTGCTCAGGGTAGACCCACTCTCCTTGGGGGGTGGGGGGGGGGCAGGGGAGAATCTCTTGCTGTTTCCTTGGCCCAACATTCGGTCTCTCAGGGTTGACTTGTAAGTTTGTTTCATATGAGCCGAAGGGCCTACTTTCAAAAAGGAATCACCAGGCTGTTGGCCTCAACGTTTGAGCAGGAAACATCAGTGTAGAAACGGATTTTGAAAACAGTGTAAATTTACTTTGAGAAACCATTCATTTCAATACATTTGTCAGAGGATACTCTGCTGTTCTTTCAACCCTTAATGATCCACGGTGAGGGTTTCATGGTAAGTCCTGGGGTGTATCGTTTCCTATGTCCACACCGGTGCATGTACAGGGCACACACACTCTGTAAGTGCTCGCTGACTTTCTTCAGCATCCGTCTCCGTCCTGCAGACTAGCCTTGACCTGTTCTGGCAGCTCTTGTGTCTCCTGCCTAGACTAGCCTGCCTAGGCTATAGAAGAGAAGAAATCAGGAGTTCTCCACCCCCTTCTTCTGTTCTCCAGGGCCCCCAACTAGGACTGGAGAAGGGACCTGTCACCTTGTTTCCTGCTGGGACATACATGCCAAGTTCTTTGTGGCTGAGGGCTTGCCGTCCAAGCTGGCAGGAGTCAGGTTCAGCAGTTTCCTCCTCTCTGCCCGCTCCTATACACAGAGTTGTGGGTGGAGGCAAGAAACAGCAGACTCAAGCCAATGAGCTTGTCCCCTTCAGGACTATGAAATCTTTTTAATCAGGGATAATTTGATATTTTGTAAACTAAAGAGTACCCAAATCAAAGTACCTTCTAGTGCTTGGAAATCTTTAATTCTCCCCCAACGTTTTCAAGAGCCAGTCTATATCTATAGTTTTATAAACCTTCTGACTCATTCAAGTCAAACAGATAATCGGGGTTGGGTTTTCTTTTTTAAAAAATGTACAATTTTTTGTAAACTGAACTAAAATAATTTTTGAACATTTATTTATAGAACTAGGAGGAAACCTAATCTCTTAAAGTGTTAACACTCTGCCTTTAGCATCTTATATATCTCATTTAATCCTCACAACAACCTCCTGAGTTAGACTCCATCCCCTTTTATAAGAAAACAATTGGACTTAGAGAATTTAATAACTTACCCTGCAAGTGGCAGAGCCTGATTTTGAAAGCAAAACAAGCTGGTTCCAAGGCTTCTGTGCTATGCTGCCTCAGTTTCCACATTTTTAATAAGGATAATGCTGAACTCATTGGGTTGATATTAGGACTAAATGCAAGAATTTATTTGCATGCTTAGCATAGTGGTTGATATCAATGAATATAGCTATTGTTTAAGGAAAAACTCAGTCGACATACCTTTCCCTTCTGTCACTTTCCTACCATTATCTTTATCATTTCCGTACCAGTTCCTTTGCACGTGCATAAGCATATATGTGTGTGCGCACCTTCTATGGGGGATTGTTTCACAGATAATCGGGCTCTGAATTTATTTCTCAGCCTGTGGTGTAAGAGGAATGAGAAAAAAAATTACAGTAAAAAAAAAATTAGAGCAAAGATCATTTTTCCTAAAGGGTGGTGTGATGTTTTTGTATTTTAGCAGTATGGAATACACTGCTCTCTGAGCTGAGTGAAATTCCAGCCATAGCCCCTGGAAGCTGTGTGGAGACGAGGGTGCATTCCTTCAGCTACAGGCACTGCAGCCGTCTCACTTGGCTACTGAAGATCTGTTTCTGTGTGCACGTGGAGCCTGATGAATATGTGGCCTCCCCACTAGGAACACCCTGGGCTGCCTTTGCACACACTTACTTCAGCTGGCCTTGAGCTCAAGGATAGTCCCTTCTGTAACAAGCAGATCACAGCCTCTCCTCCCTGTGCAAACAAGAGAACTATGTTATATTCTACTCAGAGGCCAGTAAAATCCCACTGTCAGTTTTCCCTTTTCTTTCTTCTACACACTTATTATAGAGCATGTGTTTAAAGAGTCTCCTTCCTCACTGTATGTAATCAGCCTCCCCCTCCTTCCTGATTCATTTGTGGAAGTGATTGTGGGGCCACAAGCACCAGAGTCTTCCCTGAATGATTCAGGCCAGCTGAGCTAACTGTTTAGCTCGGCAATTACCCAAGATATTAATGAGTAAACAGCCCAGACACTCTTATGGAAGAAGCACAGCCGTGGGCCGCAGCATTGAGGGAATTACGGTTCCTGCAGGCAAGCCTCAGAGAGCAATGACCAGAGTTGGCTTCAGGTGGCTGCAGGACCTTCCTCGGTGGCAGTAGCAGACAGTGGGGCTCAGAGGGAAAACAGTAAAGAATGCCTGGCACAGTAGGATAGCAAAGGTCAGATGTCATTTGTGTATGAGAGAAAAAGAGGTTTTATAAAGGACTCTGGAGAACAGTGTTTAGGCAGAATGAGGAGATTTTAACGTGTTAAGGGGTTTAGGAAAAGAAATCTAATCCACAGTAAGGTGTTGTCCAAGTATCTGCCCCCCTTGAAGCCTCAGCTATTAGTGTATTCCTTATCTCTAGCCAAAGAAAAATAGGAAACCTTACACTGAGTCCATCACCAGCATGATGGGCGGGGCGAGAAGCCAAAAGAGGCATTTGCTTTGTCCTCAGCTACCTGGGTAATTTTCATGGCCGGTGTTGTCCAAAGACTGATCTGACCTTCTGCTTAACATCTCTCATCCCCCAGCTCTCAGGTCTACCTTGGGAATGCACACTGATGTTGTGTATTAAGCTTGAATCCTTCCTTCCCAAGAGATCACAGGCTGGCTCTAAAGCCCAGGATCGAAGTTTGAAGGTTGATGGTTCCACGGGTAATCCAAGCAGCTCCAAAGACTGGTCGGAGTCTCTGCGACTTGGAGATGAAAGAAATTCTCCCCCAACTCAGAGGAAAAGGAAAAAGTTATGAGAGATAAGATATGAGACAGAGAAAAATAAAGCCAGGATATCCAAAATATTTTTAATAGGGAGCCCAGAAAGGGAGCATGGAGCTGATAGAGGAGAAACTGTTCTTGTATCCCCAAACAGGAGGGATTAGTTGGGGGGGGGGGGGGAGTTATACATCCCATAGGTTTATAAGGTGGAAGGGACTTTGTCTAGAGACTATGAAAAGTGCAAGAACAGACTTCTATTCTGTGACAGACATTCAAATCCTCACATTGAACTTCTCATCCTGTCTCTCTACCAAACTCCCATTGAAACAGCGAAAGGAAAATAGTGATAGGGGAAAATCTGTCATTGTTCAAAACTGAAAAAGGATTCCACCTGCATACCAGATATTTCAAGGAATTTCTGTATGACTTGATGCAGATGAGATCAGTTTGAGAGAAGGGTTTGACAAGCTTCAATTCACCTCACAGAAAAGAAAGGGCTGTCTTGGGAGGGACCCCCACCTGAACCTAGTAACACTCCCAAGGTTGGTTGTGACAAGGGCTATGGACAAAAATTAATTACAGGAAATCACAGGGCAAATCTCTATCCTCTTGAAGCGTCCAGGAAGTGCCCAGGTACTGGGGTGCACACAGGGCAGGGATCCCACTAGGGGGCTCATGTATGATGCCTGGCACGGCGAGAACATTGTCAAGAGGGCAATGGTGAGGGCAGCCATGCTGGCTCCCGGCTAGCTTTATGTGGTTACAACGTGCAGGGTGAAGGAACTCTTTAATATGAAGGCAAAATTGCTCCTTTCAGAGTCTCCACAGACGACTGGCTCTTAGTTGTTTTCTTTCATCCATTCATTCCACACATATCTGTGACAAGCCTGTTATGTTCCAGGCACTGAGTTAGGCACCAGGGATTCAACAATGGACAAGAAAAGTGTTCTCTGCTTCGTGAAGCCACTCAAGCAGAAGAATCAGGTTACCTCTGAAGGAAAAAAATCATCTTGATGTTTGCTACATAAATGCCAAAGATAACAAAGCAGTATGCATGGGATTTTGAGGGAAAACGATTATGACACAAAATTCTGTTTCTTACACAAAATTCTGACATTTCAGACAAGCAGCTATACAAGGGTAAACCATTCATGTACCACCCCAACTGAAAAAAAAAGACTCCACAGAAAATATTCTACCGAAGCAAATTAACTCAGTAATGTAAAAGAAATAATGTAAAAGAAATGGCAGTGAATGATGTAAGCAGTAAAACAATGTTGAGCCTAACTCCCAATTTTTAATATATTGTGGCACTCACTGTTGGATGCCAATAGGATGAACATTTTTCTTTCCTTCCTACTAACAGAATACCAATTTTGTGTGATTGACAACATGCCCTGACCCAAAGGATGAAGCAAGACAATTTCTTGCCCGTTGTTGATGATTGGCCTAGGGCTGAGCACGTGACTAAGTTCTGGCCAATGAAATGTTAGGGAAAGTCTCCTGTTAGTCTTCTTGGGGAGGAATTTGCTTCCTGATAAAGACAGGCAGTGAAGTAGCCTGACCTTTCTTCCTGCCTTTAAGATGATTGTCTAAGGATGAAATATTTGGTGTGTGGCATCCATCTTGTGAGCATGAGGAGAAGGTCAAGAGAAACTGAGAGATGCCCGCATAGCACCCTGGACCCGCCTCCCTTTACCCTCCTTTCTATATGGTATAATTAAATGTCCTTCATGTCTGAACCACTGTTAGGTAGTCTGATATGTGAAGCTGAAGGTATGGTTGGAAATTTAATAAAGCTGTTGAAGATAATTCTTGAGAGAAAACACATATAAATGGATTAGGAGTTGGGATTAAATTATCATAATAATCTAAATATAAAAGCCCAGATTATTATAGAAACTGGGAAGACAGGATGGCAGAGGAGAAGGGAAAGTAAAAATATGCTTATTTTGTCATCTTTCATTGAAGAGCATTAATAGCTACTGTAAAATTTTTTCTTTGATATATAAATTCATTAAAAAAAATTAAAGATAACTAGTAATGGAATAAAAATAGAACATATAACATCCAAATTTTTAGAGGAAAAAAGGGAGCAGAGAGAGAGAGAGATTGAGTTGGTTTTTTTTTTTTTAATTTTTCGTTTATTGCAGTAACATTGGTTTATAACATTGTATAAATATTTTGTTTTTTTTTAATTTTTTGTTTATGAGTTGTTGAGAAGAGAGAATGAGGAAAAGTCCAAGAAATGGAAAATCCGGAAAGCATATATATGATCAGACGGTAGAAGAAAGAACAAACATATCTGTGTCCCTGTTAAACATGAATAGTTTTAACTCCCCTTTTCAAATACAAAATCCAGCTAGAAGCTTTCAAGAAACACACCCACCAGTGATATAAAAGCAAAAACAATTGCCCTATAAATACAAACCAGAAGAAATCTGGGGAGGTAACATAATTGTGAGAAAACTAAAATTTGTGGTAAAGATGGAATTAATATATAAACAGGATTATTTGGTCAAAACTATTAGAAATATAAGCCGAACTACGAGGACAATTTATAATCCCTTTTTGTGGTAGATGGTCAAATTAATGGCCCCCAATGAAGCCTACTTCTCATTACTCATGCCCTTGTATAGTCCCCTCCCACATTGAGTCTGGGTTAGGCCATGTGTCTTGCTTAGTTCAATGGGACTTCAGTAAATAGGATGATACAAGCAGAGACTTAAAAAACCTTGTCCCTTAGGGCTTGCCCTCTTGGAATGTTTCCACCACCATAGGCAGAAGCCCAATCTGGTCTACTAGAGGATAAGAGGCCGCATGGAGCAGAGACAAGCCACTGTTCCTGAACCCAGCCCCCATCTGATCTACCAGTTGAATTTGGCTGTAAGAGTGAACCCAGCCAACTCACAGAATTGTGAGAAATAATGTCATTGTTTTAAACACTAAATTTTGGGGTGGTTATGTGGCAATAGATACTGCATACACTGTGAAACCTGAGCCTCTCTTCTGTCTGTGGCACCTCAAGAGGATAAACATTAAGTAAAGTTATGATGAATTTGAATAATTTATCTAATATAATTAATTTAATATGTGCAAATCAAGATTTTCTATTCTACAAATGTAAATACGTTTCTTTCAAATATCCTTAGATCATATGCTGGCTCTCAAATGAAACTTTAATAAATTTCAAGTAGAAAACTTTTTTTTTTTAAGCTAGGGTCATTAACTATAATACAATTAGATTAGAACTGAACAGCAAAAGGACAATTTAAATATACAATCACGGGCCGGCCCCGTGGCTTAGCGGTTAAGTGCTTGCGCTCTGCTGCTGGCGGCCCGGGTTCGGATCCCGGGCGCGCACCGACACGCCACTTCTCCGGCTATGCTTAGGCCGCGTCCCACATACAGCAACTAGAAGGATGTGCAGCTGTGACATACAACTATCTACTGGGGCTTTGGGGGAAAAAATAAATAAATAAAATCTTTAAAAAAAAAAAAAATAAATAAATAAATATACAATCACTTGGAAATAAAAAAGTTTTTTTCCTCAATTACTCTTGGATCCAAGAGAAAATGAAAATTATGCTACAAAATAGTAATGAGAACAAAATCAAAATGTTTGGGATTCTGCCAAAGCTGTGCAAAGAAAAATTTGTACACAAATTTTCTTTTATTATTAAGGAATAGTAAAACTAAATGAAGTAACAATTTAATTGAAGTAGAACTTTAAAAAAGAAAAAGAAACCTAAGGAGGGCTAGCCCAGTGGCATAGTGGTTAAGTTCGCGTGCTCCGCTTTGTCAGCCTGGGGTTTGCAGGTTTGGATCCTGGGCGCAGACTGAGGCACCGCACATCAAGCCATGCTGTGGCCGTGTCCTATATACAAAGCGGAGGGAGATGGGCACGGATGTTAGCTCAGGGACAATCTTCTCAGCAAAAAGAGGAAGACTGGCAGCAGATGTTGGCTCATAGCCAATCTTCCTCGCCCCTGCTCCCCCGAAAAAGAAGCCTAAGGAAAGCAGAAATGTGGGGTCACAAAGCAAAAATGAGTGAATTAGAAAAGGCAATAATCAGAGAATAAATGCAAGACAATCTTGGAAAAGAATAATAAAAGCATGGCAAGGGTAATCGTGAAGAGAAAATAAAAAATTTACGGTGTTGGGAAGGAGAAGTAGAATAGAACATATGTAGAAAAGATTTTTTAATTATAAGAAAGTAGTAGGTATAACTCAATGTTAATGAATTTGGAAAATCTCATTAAAATGGATAAATTTCCAAGAACATATAATTGCCACATTGACTCAGTAAGAAGTAGAAAATTGAAAAGACTAATGTCAGAGAAGAAATGGAGAAGTTGTTAAATTATTCTCCATAAAAGATGCCTGTTTCACAGAGTTATAAAGTATGTTTCTTTTAACCCCTAAGTAATTTAATCTCCTTGCTGTTTAAAATGTTCCAGAGCATAAAAGAGAATGGGAAGTGTACCAATTCAGTTTTCAAACTAAAATAACCCTGATGTACCAAACTCACAAAAGTAGCAAAAACAAACTAAAAGAAAAAAAAAAATACCAAGCTGACTTAAGAGCACAGCTGAAAAAAGGTAAATAGAACGCTAGCAAATCAAATCCAATATGTTATTAAAAACAATATACTATGACCAAGTAGAGTTTGTTCTGGTAATTCAGGTAATATTTTATTAACATAATCACATTTGAAAAATTGAGATATAATTGACATAACATATTTCAGGTATAAAACAAATGTTTAGAAATTTGTATCTATTGCAAAATGATCTCTGCAATAAGTCTAGTTAACATCCATCCTACACATAGTTACAATTTTTTTTTTACATTTTAAAATCAAACAAAAACATTATTATCTCTATAGTTGGAAAAGTTCTTAGTTAACTAGAAATAGGCTACTTCATTTACATAAGGAACACATATGTCAAGTCAGCATGGATAAAATTCCTCATATGAAGACGTTGGAAGCATTCCCATCAGAACCAAACAAGAACGCTAACCTAACCACTATTATGTAACATTCTCCATACAATGTGATTTGGTGGTGAAGAATCGCAAGGTTTTTGATACCCATTACCTTTATCCATTCTTTCCCCACTGCTTTGAAATAATACCTTTATCACACCACAAGTCTGTTATATTCTTGGTCCCGCCCACCCCCAGACTTTATATTCTGTATTAATAATTTGGTTGTCTTTCTCTGTCCCCCAATTTACATTTTTTTGCATTATTTTAACTTCATCGTATGTTCTTATGGGTATTTTAAATCACACACACACATGCGAGTATACTGAAATTGCCCTACAGAAAAGTCTAACCAATTAACATTCCTACCAGCTGTGTGGTAGGCGGTTTCCTCTGTTAGGTATTTTTCCCTGAGCCAAGTTAATATAAATCATTGGTTTTTTGGGTCACATATACCTTGGAGCCGATGAAAACTATGAACGGTCTTCCCTGCTCCTCCCATATAACTATATCTATATCTATATCTATATCTATGTCTATCTGTATTTATATACCAAACTGTGCATTTACAGAGTCTCTGAATCTTATGCATGGACCTCTGGTTAACAACAACTGAAATAAATATTAATCTATATTTGTTCCACCACCTTTTACATTTAATTCTTTAATCCATTGGCTTTTTTTGGTGATTATTTACAGTACATCCCGAAGAAATGTATAGCATGATCCAAATGTTGTCCCTCACCCATAAATATGTTAATATACATGCATAGAGAAACAGATAAAGGCTATACATGTACCAAAGTGTTTAATACTTATGTCTGGATGGTTAAATTGAGTGATTCTTTGTCTATTCTTCTCTCTGCTTCTCCTGATTTAAATATTCCAAAATGAATTTATTTCACTTTTGTAATAAGAAACAAACTGATTTCTTTCAGCAAGATAGGCAGTTCAGTGGGTTTCAGAGTTGCCGAGAATGAGGGATGAGAGGGTTTCTCTTTTTTTGTTGAGGGAGAGATGATTGCGGGGGCTGGGGAGAGATGAAGCCCGAACATCAACTGTTTGCACGGCTGCACCAGCGTGGCAGGAATCGGGGCCCCTCTCACCCGCTGGACACAGGGGCCTCAGTGTACACTGTGGCCTGCGATGGGCCGATACTGGGCTCCGCGAACAAGGGCCCTGTGTCTGCCACCGTCCAACACAAAGGACAGAGGTCCCCTGTTTACTTTGGATTAGAAACGTTCAAATGAGGGACAGCAAAAACATTTGAGTTTTCCTCTTTTCAGTTTCTTATAAAAAAACAAATTGTAGTGAGTCGGGATTTTTTGGCATCTTCCCTGAATAAAATTCAATCAGACTAGATTGCTGACGGAGTCTTAAAGAGCTTCCCTTGTTTATTATTTTTTTTAGATTTATGGCTTAAAGGCTAAGAAGTAGCAGTGACTGACTAGGCCCCTGAATTGTCCATTCATTTCCCAGGAAATGGGGTATTCCCAGTACCTTGGTCAGCTAGAACAAGTGACCCCTGACCTTTTGCAATAAGCTCCTTATAGGCTGACAGCACCACATATTCATGGCCGCGCCTCCTCCCTCAATTCCATCCAACCTCCCATACATTGAAATACGCTTTCCCTTTCAGATGCTCATTCAAACCCCCATCTCTTAGAAAATTAGACCTACAAAGGGATAGATGTTTTATCAGACAAAGGGGTCTTTAAATCATACAAGTCAAGGTGGCTCTACATTGAAAAACTGTGCCTGAGACTGCAGATCTTCCTTGATTTACGATGGGATTACATCTCAAAAAACCCATTGTAGATTGAAAACGCCGTAAATTGAAAGGCATTTAATTACACTTAACCTACTGAACATCACAGCTTAGCCTAGCCTACCGTAAATGTGCTCAGAACACTTACATTAGCCTATAGTTGGGCAAAATCATCTGACACAAAGCGTATTTTATAATTAAGTGTTGACTCTCTCATGTAATTTATTGAGTATTGTACTGAAGGTGAAAACCAGAATGGTCGTGTGGGTACAGGATAGTTGTAAGTGTGTGGGTTGTTCACCCTTGTGATTGAGTGGCTGACTGGGAGCTGCGGCTCACTGCCGCTGCCCAGCATCATGAGACAGTATCATATTCCTAGCCTGGGTAAAGATTGAAATTCGGAATTTGAAGTATGTTTTCTACTGAATGTGTATTGCTGTCACACCATTGTAAAGTCGAAAAATTGTAAATTGAACCACTGTAAATTGGGGACCATCTGTATAGGGATGGGCTCTTGAAGGCCATGGTGGCATGGTGGAAATAGTATA